ATTATGCAACTGGTCTTTTAAAGGATATATATATATAGATCATATAAGAAGTCTAAGTCAATTGAAGATAAAACTTGCCATCTTTAAATTATTATTGCAATCCAAATAACCTACGGAATTTTGGATCCTTTATCAGTCCATCTGCTGTACTAGATATGTAGCTCAATTCACTCGTAACTAACACTTTGAAAAACAAATCAGAATATTAACATTCTTAAAAACAAGGTTTTATAATATAATCTGCAATCTCGAGATGACTGCTATTATGGTAAAATTACATTAATGAGTAGTAGATAGTAATAAGTAGATTATACTCGTATTATCTTATATATAAAATTCTCATATCACGCTGTTTGTTACCAAACTCTTCCGAAACGGCTTTACCGATTTTTATGAAATTTTGTGTGCATATTGGGTAGGTCTGAGAATCGGCCAACATCTATTTTTCATACCCCTCGATGATAAGGGTGACCCGCCCCAAAAATTTTTTTTTTATTTTTTTGACAAATTTTTCCATTTTTATTTTATTATAATTTAGCATTGAAAAATACATACAACCTCAAAGTTTTACCGTTTTACGATCAACCTCTGTATTTTAATCGCGATTTTTATATTTCGCAATAAGTGGTAAAACAACGTTTACGGGGTCAGCTAGTTTTATATAAAAAAAATGTACGTAGGTACTATTTACCTGTAAATTTTTCAATCGCGGTAAGTCCCGATAGTGTATTTTAAATATGTATCAACAATGTGAAAGTTTAAAATTTAAAATTAATCGTATTTTCATCAGAACAAAAAATGAATGCAAAATTTCAGCAAAATCGATTAAGAGGAGCTGGTTCTAATTTAGCTTGCAAGATTTAGCCTAAACAAACTAACAAACATTGCAAGTTAATAAAAGCTTATAAACATTTTAGATATGTACGTTCTTTCATCTATTTTCTACTAATATAAGTAATATGGATAATTGAAAGTATAATATAAATAATATGCAGTCAATAAATATTAAAAAATGCTGATTATGATAACCTAGATAGTTTATGTACTGATTTGTCATAAAGTTGTTACTATAAGTTTAATATTGTTTAAGAATTAATTGATTCGATAATTGTCATTGTAATCAACATAATTCTGAGGCGTAATCAAATTATTATTTAATATACAATTTTTTTATAAAAGCTAGCAATAATAATTATCTAAAGATAATTATTTGCTCGAGGACAACTATATGCATGTCGTCTGCATGTGTTACTTCTATCTCCCTCTTATTTCTACCGCTGTGCTAGCAGTATGTCTATATTTCTCTATAAAATAAAGCTAAGCATATTACGATACGCCTCAGGAACAACGGCCACGGAAGAGAGATACCATGAGCATCAAAGTATTCTATGATGTCCATAGTACCTATTGGAATTTTCTATCATATAGACTGTAAATTTTTTTCAGATGCATAAAAAAGCTAATAATATTATATGTGTGGAATTTCTTCTAGAATAAATTACGTTCTTAACGATTCCCACGCAGATCGCAACACTGGCGCCGTTATGTCGCGTCAAGCTATCTCGCGTCAATAAAGGAAGCCAAATACCAATCAAGGCATGCCATGCAATGGAGCTCCTTAATGGATTGACATGCGTAACTAACGACCGTATATTTTATATTATTCTTTTTATAGATAATCCCTATTATATTTTCAAAGTCAACTTGCACTGTACTTAATTTATTTAATACTAGCGGCCCGTCCCAGCTTCGCACGGGTGGATATTTTTACAACATTTTAATAAGTGGTTATTGTGACATAGCAATAATAGTTAGGCATATATCGCAAAGTTTTTTGTAGTTTTTGATATTTTCTTCAATATTGTAGAATATACTTTTGTTCTATCAAAAATAGTTTCCGCAGCGCACGCGACGAAAGATATTTTATAGCATGTTTTTTACACGTTACGTTACTAAAATTTTAGTAAGGATCTCTAATTTTTTCTAGCAATAAATATAACCTATGTTACTCAGGATAAACGTAGCTTTCTAATGGTAAAAAATTTTTGAAATCGGGTTAGTAGGTTTTGAGTTTATTCATTACGAACATACATATACACAAATATACAGATTTTTCCTCTTTATAATATTAGTGTAGATGTTCACAGATTCTCAATGACTATAACTGACAAAAATTTGATGCTAATAGGTACTCATTACGTAAAAGTATCGCCTACTAGTGTCAAAAGTTTCTAAGGTGCCTTCATTATAAACAAAGGCCTTTGATATGGCTTCACCTACCTTTTGAAGCACAAAGAAAAAGTTAACATGAATTTGAAAATTCAGAGATAGTAGTAATTTAGAGAGAAAAAAAACAAAAATTGACCTTAGGATCCCTGAAACAGTCAGACATTATTCTACCGAGCTGTCACAAAAATCCTTACTAGTATTATAAATGTGAAAGTGAGATTGTTATCACTTAGCGTCTTAATTGTTTGTGCAATCATTATGAAATTTGATAAACAGGTATTATATGAGACGAAGAAGAATAAAAGCTACTTTTTATCCTGGAAACCTTCCGGCATAAAAGCACGTCGATAAAAGCTAATAATATATATATATATATATATATATATATATATATATATATATATATAAAAAAATAAAATGATGGTATACAAACAACAAGGCAACAAGGCCATTTGTTTGTAAGCGATTATTTTTATTTTATTTAAATAACTTTATTGATCGAAAGAAAATATGGTGCAAAATGCGAATTTAATGCTAGTAGCATACTCAAATAGTCAATCTTTGGGATGATCAGGAGTCACGAACACGGTACTTCATTATTCGGATAGGTAACGATAATATTAGTTAATAATGTATACATGGTACATTATATATACATAAATAACATAAAATAATGATTATAATATGCATACATAAATATAAAGGAATATATATATATGCAAATAGATCGGTTATCGTAGCTTATGGATGCATACAACACGTGAGGTATCATATGCACTTTATTATCTCCATAACATAGTCTCGTTCAGTAGCTGTTATTAGCAGTAGCTGTAATATTACCATTTTTTTTCTATAAAGAAATTATCGTCAATTTCACCTTTTCGATTAGAAGAAAGAATCACCTGAATCATATTCACACTCATAGAAAAAAAAAACAGAATTGGTAACCTCTGTATTTAAAAAAATCGGCTAAAATCCCTGTAAAACACTGCACTCAACTGTAATTAAGACAAATCTCAATTGTTTGCATTTGTATGAGAAATCACCGAAATTTTCCAACGCAGAATGACTTTAAAGGTGTTTTCCAATAACACTTTGTTATGTATAATTACTACAGAGGGTTACTTAACTGGGTCAAACGTTTGGAATACTAATTTCATTTCCTTAATGGAAATTGTACTAAACGAGAATTATAATAGAAGTTACGACAATGCAAGAATGTTTGTAACAGAGTAGGCCTAGACTGGCCTATCAAAATCAGATAAACTTTACACTAACGAGGACTCAAAATCTCCAGAACAGAAGTATACATATACTCGTATTTTAATACGCCACTTACCCACTCATTCTGAAAGGAGGGGAGATTGTTAATAATGCGAAGAACCATACCCATTGGCAATATAACCTGTCAATTCGACCTTGACGCGGTCCTTCCTGAAAAACATCGTGCTGAATTGCAGGTGTATTCATCACCACGGACTCACTGGTGTCCCGCCAGTGCATACCGTTAGCGCTAGCGAAGTGACCATTCCACTATTATACATTAAAAAAAGTCCACTCATTCTATAACTCCTTCTATCCAAAGGTAGCTAAAAGAAATATTACGGAGAGGTATTATACTATATATTAAACATTATAATCATTAAAAATCCTCACCAAAAACTCATATAATAAGAATGAAAACGTGTGTAAGGAATAACTATAGCTGGAATCATAGACGTATTCCCTCTAAACAAGTGGTATACGAATCTTTTAGTAGATAGGTATTATTCACTGCCACACCCACATGAACTAATATTGCTGATTCGTACTGCATGAACAACCTGTACTGTACATCTGAATGTATGCACATGCAGCAACGAAAACGTATCTATCGATGGAATCCTTATGCGGAAGTACGTTATTATTCGGTTATTGCGTATTCTGTTGTCTTTTTAACATCACATATTGCCATAATGCCTTATAATGCCCAACATAATAATGTTGGGCATTATAAGGCATTATGGCAATGCATCAAAAATAGCAAAGTTAGAATAAAGAGTAAATAAAGAGTAGGTGTTTACTAATATCTGCCTATGATGTGAACAATATTGAAAATACATATATTAATTTGATAATTTCAATATTAAATCGCCTTCATCATTATTTTAGTAGAAGAATTAATGAACAAATTAAATTAATCAAAATCTTTATACCTTATCTTAGCGTTATTGTTAATATATTAGTGGAAAACATTACTTGATAAGTAAAATATTCTTATCACCCATTGATGGCTAGGATTATCATAATTTTAATGTATATAAACGGGGTTAATCCTATTTTAACTAACTACATACCACATATACGTAGATAGCTACAATCCTTTTTGCGCAAGAAGTATCAAACTAACTAACGAACTAAAGCCTCTAATATAGATCGTAAGAATATGAATCTGTGTAGAAATGACACTTGTGTAATTTTCTTTGTAAGTACACTTCTCTTTACTTAAATAGGGTTGTTACAAATTTACACTCATTTTATAAATTACTTTATCATACAAAAATAAACAATCCGATATATTCAAAGAAACAATTCTTCTTTCATACAAACTTTATTCTGACAGTTACGTACAAAATACAACAAAAAATAACCAAAATAGGTGTAACTGTTCCGAAGTGATGCTCTACATACTCGCATATTTAGCAACAGATTTCTATTTATATAGCCTTAATCTACATTCCTTTATGAACTTCATTTTGTAACGTTTACGATAAATATCATTAGCCACTTACCTTTTTTGCATTCGTCGATGTTTTCATCAGAGTTGTCGCCGCAATCATTCTCCCCCTCACAGACCCACGACAGCGGTATACACTTCCCGTTCGCACACTGGAACTGCTTCAGGGAACACGCTCCTGAAATTAAATATGATATTCAAAATATTGAGGTCTACTTTTTTTAATTAGTCTAGATCAAGGGTCAGCAAATTGCGGCTCGTGAGCCACATGCGACTCTTGAGATGTGAAGCTGCGATTCATTAGTTATTTATTTTATAAAAAAAAAACTTTCTGAATCGATTAACAAGGATTAGGCACCACACTTTATTTAAGCAAATAATGTTGGCATGAAAAAATTTTGTGGAATTTAAAACTTTAAAATTTTGTGAATTTTGTGAAATTTTTTACTCTTCCGACTCAAAAGGTTGCCGACCACTGGTCTAGATAAATATCAATAGATTCTTATTGACTACATCGTCCTTCGCTCCAGATTAAATAAAAATATTCCATTTCTTTTAACATAAGTTGTTAATAAAAATAATTTGATATTGAATCATGTGTACAGCCACGTGCAATATGAAAACATTTCAGCAAATACTTTGCCTCCGTGACATTAATGATAACCGCAAGATTTTTTTAATTAATACGGCAAGGTACAGAAGTAGATTTTTTCCTTAAAAAAATTGTAAGTACAATCGTGTCATATTTTATATTGATAAGCAATCTTACTTTTTCTATTTCAAAATAATAAAGACTATAACGGAATCGTGTTGGAGACACGATTCCGAGTAGATTATCCAGAGAAATCCTATCGGATTCAAAAATATTCAAATTCAGTAAGTTCAGAATTTGCGACATAATTGCATTACATACACATAGAAATACGAACATTCCATTGATCCCACAAATACTCTAAATGAACTCCCTGTCGGTTTTCCCAAGAAACTACAGCATGGGGTTTTTAAAAAAAGGGATAAAGAGGTATTGCTGGCATTGATAAGTTTCAATAACCGCTTACCATCAGGTGGACCGTATGCTTATTACCTCAGTGGTATAAAAAAAATTAATTATAAATGCGAAACTTTGTACCGATGGATGACTGGATGGGTGTTACTCATTCAAGCAAAAACTACTGAACAGATCCGAATGAAATTTAATAAAGGTGTAGGTTATATTCGAACTTAGCACATAGGACACTTTACATATTGATTCAAGTGGGATTAAGCCGTGGGATACAGGTGTTATTAAATATCTTCTCCTTGTTAAGTACTTTCCAAATATCACAATATACTTACTTTTAATACATTGTCAATAATATTGTTATAATCACGGCAAGACAGATAAATATCTATTTCAAGGACAATGACATCATTAATCTGAAGATTATTTTTTTGTTATTGTTTTAATTTAATTAAAAATCAGTACAATAAATATTCAATTTCATATTAGGTACATATCTCCAATGAATTGTGGTATTGCAAATAGGTAAATATATGTTGTTTGTTTGTTAACACTTGGGGTCTGGATATATCAATATATTACGTTAACGCGAAGTCATTGGTAAAAAATGATTTTTTATAAATAAATGCCTTATAGATATGCCTCAAATTAAGGAAGAAAAGGGATTGTTAATGACAAGGTCTACAAGCCCCATTACTAGCAATATAACCCTATCACGTCCACACGGTTTCCCCCAGTAATCGTAGTAGTACTTGTAGAATAGATCACTATTGACTGACTAACATGCTTTCATCCTCACGGATCATCACTCAGTGGTACCCCGCCAAAGTATACCGATAACGCAATCGCAGTTACTATTATCATCATTAAAAAAAAACATCAACTTCATTGATATGACCGTGATAAAAAACAACTTACGTCCATATCTACGCCAAATACTACATGTATTCCAAATTTAATGACGATTAATAAAGCCATTATAATTCCAAGAGGTAATGAATAAACAAACATCGTACTTAAGATTTTATTTTTGACCACGTTTCGTAATTATCAATTCATAAAATCACAAAAACCTCTACACCACTATATATAATAACACAAAAATTCAAAAAACAATATAAAAATAAGGAAAACCTCCAATTATAAGAAATCAATTCATAATCAAGTTGTAAAGGTGTCTATTTATTTGCCTGACCAATAAATACTGGTGATTTGCTTCCTTCTAAATCATAAATTTGAAACTTCCACACTAATTTACCTACAACTCATCAATCACTTGGTAACAACAATTTCTACAGTTTTCAACGGATATAATAAATCAATAAAACTTTCATCCAAAGTTAATACTTGATTGGATCTTTATTATAATTTTATAAATTTAACTAAGAAAGCAAAAGTTACTTCTTACTTTGTTTTCTATCATGAAAATATTATACTTATACTTTTTGTTTGTTATTGGCATGGATAATAGACAATAAAATCAAAATTAATTATGAACCTAACTAGTTTATTTCCGCTTAGCTCCAGCGTTTTCCCTTGCCGTATATTCAGAAATACTTTTAATTATTGAAATATTTATTTATTTTATTTTATTAATACTTTATTGCATTAACATTACAGGATTTGATGAACGATTTTCGATAAGTATAGTGTAGTATAAAAGGCGGTCTTATTGCTAAGCAATAAGCTAAATTATATTATAATAAGAATAATTATTATTTCTTATCGCTTAACAAAAATAGAATCGATTACTTACAAAGTAGCCTATGAGCGCTTGCAATACCAGAAGTATTACGCGCGCGGTGCCGACCCTGAAGAAACCTCTTTAACCAAAGGCTACAGCATGGCCTTCTTCAAAAGGGGGGCTTTTGAAGAAGCCCATGCTGTAGCCTCTAGGGAAAACCTCGGCAGGGAGCTTATTCCATAATTTGAGTGTTTGTGGGAGAAAACATCTCTGAAACCACATTGTACGCAACCATTTAGGCTGTAGGGTATGACAATGAACTCACTATCGATGGCGAGCCGTACGATGATAGAAAGTGATCGTGGGCATCATATTGAATAATTTCTCTGAGCACAATCCATTGTACAAGCGGTAAAACACGCAGACTGAGGCAAAATCTTTCCTAAGACCTAAGAGTTCGATACCGCTTGCAAGCCTGGGATCATTGACAATTCTCATAGCTCGTCGTTGCACTAGGGTCGGATTTTTGGACTCCCTATAATAACAGTATAGTTGAACATAACAATGGCTAGGTCAATTATCATACTCGTGAGCGGGTGCTTCTAGTAGAGACTGGTCTGTTTAAGAATACTTTCATTGATTTTAGTGAATTTTTAATAACATGAAGTTTGTGATTGTCATTTTATCCATTCACATTTTTTTTGTTTTAAACTCAACTTCTAACTTAAAATGCAACAACTGAATTCCTTGACTGTTCTTCTCAGCTGAAATTGTATCCCGAATTAGGCGGTAGATTCATAAAAAACACTTATTAAAAATGCTTTTAATAAATTTACTTAAATAAAAAATATGTGTATTTTATTATATTTATCTTCTTAAAATAAAAATACCTAGGTGGAAGTCCCTAAAAATTTGCGAATACCTATTACTATTACTAAAATATCGAAATATATCTAAAGCTAATCGAGAATGATACATTTATTTGAAAAATAACACACAATAAAAGGAAATAGGCCCATCAGTAGTTGGCATATAACTCAATACGAAATGAATACGATCAGTCGTACATTCTCGTGATCCTAAACAGCCTTTTTATGTCTATTATGTAATGGGCACAAAAGTCAAAACGATCCATAGTCCATACCATTGGCAAAAGATCTCCCCCACACAATACCACAGATTTATGTAGTAATATTTTCGAAGATCTATCCAATAACACTGAATTTATTACTTGGACTATTTTGCTCATTGATGAATCGTAAGTTACTGACAGTAATGTTTGAATTGAGAAAAATAAAAAAAAGCAGTTTAAATGACAAAAACATAAATACACTTGGCAACGAAAACACAAAAGGCTACAGAATCCAATTCGTATGTAAATCAAATGAACAATAAATAAATCTTCATTGATCTCTTCAAAACGTTTTGATCACGTAACAAATATAAATACGTAGGTATGATAAATACTCGTTTGGGCTGAGTGGTTTGACTGAAAGGGACACTAATTTAATTTCATTACATTAGGTCGAGGGTTCTTGTCTAAAAGCGGAGGACAGCGCGCGGCGCGTGGTACTGTTGAATGGCGGTGAGCGGCCGGCATGACATCCAATCTGCGTGGAGGGTCCTCTTGTCTGTCTCATTGAAACTAAATCACCCGAAGCTAGGGGAGCTCGCGAAATTCATCCAATATTGCCGCGTTCGGTCCGCGATATCCGTAACAACGTTGGCAATTTACTCATTAATCTAAAGGGAATTCTTTATTTACTATATTTACTTTTCTGTATGTCTTCTTAAGAAAAAAGTTAAACACAATCAACTTTGATATAATATTGATATAATACTGAGTTTGTAAGGAAATTTATAGAGTATTTTGTATTCGTAGTTTTAAGTAACTTTTTTATCTCCTAGTATTTAGATCACGAGGAACAATCCCAACGTAGAGCAAGTCACAATAGCCACGACTTCATAGAATTGGTGATAGATTTTTAAAAGAATCAATCAAATCATATTGATACAACGGAATAATTATCAAATACAAATATATTTAGTGGCACAAAAAACTACCACTTTTATCATGACAAAATCAATATTGATTAGTAATATGACTATTCTTAATTAAAGACCAATAGAATGCAGTGGATGGAGAGCAATTTGTTTCGTAGACACATTTCATTAAAAAAATATATACAAATTGACAACCGCTTATTATTGAAAGTCCTTTAATTTTTTTTTATACAACTTAGAATGCCAAACAAGCTGACGGCCCACCTAATGGAAAGTGATAACCGTCGCCAATAGATATGAGCAGTACCATGGATATAACAGAGTATACTATATAAAATACCCAAGTGTTTGTACCTACTGTACGAAAAAGCAAAATTAGCTTTTAATATTATACTTTAATGGATTTTTCAAAGATAAACGTCCCTTTTGAGGCAGCTGAACAGAACATTTAACAGAAATCTTGATAGACCTATTTTGCTTCGTCCAAATC